CTAAGAAGAGGACAACAATTTTTCAAGGCATATACCGGCCTGTGTCTTTCCACACAATGAAGACCTTAATTAGAAGAGAATTCAGGACTTCAAGGTGCAACGAACTTAAAGCTCTAACAAAGGAGAAACAGTGGACAGTGGCACTCTCCGACATAACTGACTGAGAATCGAAGCCGTTGCTGAGTTCAGACTACGTACAGGACACGATTGCCTGGCAAAACACCTTCACAGATTGGGAGTATACACTCAACCAACATGTCCCCTATGTAACCAACAGGTGGAAGTGGAGAAGACCCACCTGATTCGGTGCCCAGCCCTAAAGACGGAAAGCTAGAGATACTGGGAAGTCAGAAACAGCTAATGAACTAATGTCAACAGTCCTTAAACCTAAATATATGTTCCTACTCACCCCTTGTGAAAGCCGAAGTCGACTAATTGGCTAATGATAAATATCATAAATCCTGGATTTTAAATAATAATAAAAGCTTATTACACTTTAAATAATTGCAAAAGCTGCTAATTCACGGTTTTTTTTGACATTCAATTCGCCTGCTACAAATTAGCTTTTCTTTATTTTTTTGAAAGTAGCAAAAACCATAAGTATATAGCATCTTCTCTAAAAAAATTCATTTTTAATTTCTTCTCTTTAATTTGCAAAATAAATTGTCGAGGATCGTTTTATTATCGACTTTTTTTTCTTTCGGATTCCAAACTAATTTGAAATGAGTAATTTCCTGACTCGCTTTTAGGGAAATTTTCCGGGCACCTTTGCGAAAAAATGAGACTTTTAAATGGCAAATTTAAAAATGGAAGTAAAAGAATCACTCTCCAAGCAGCCATTTAAAACTAGAGGTAAGGTGGCGGTGATAAAGAGAACGTCTGATAATCACTTGTTCCCGCATTTTACATGAGATTTATTCAAATGAAGGTGTCTCTTGTTCGAAATAGAGGTGATACTTTACATTCGTTTTCCCAGGCGTGCTATATGGGAGTACTAGACTGTCCTCATATCTCACCCCCCCCCCTCCCCCCTTCACACCCCTTCCCTAAGTTCATCACCTCAGACAAGATTTTGTTTTCCCTTCTTACCATTCATGTGATGACATGAACGGGGACAGGTTTATCCCCCCCCCCCTCCCTTACTGTGGCTTTTGGAAGATGCCACTCGTGCCTGGTGTACCCATTTAACCTCACACGTGTTATAAAGCGGAGGGGACAAAGTCTGTGGCGAGAGACATGAACTAACGGTGGGTGGAAGGATAGTGATGTTGTATGCGACGATTTAAAAAGCTCAAGTTTTGATGTTAAACATAAATTATAGCACTTGTGTGGAAGGTGTGAAAGTGGTGCCAGTGGAAATCCAAGTCTTCCCTCCCCACCACCCCCTCCTGAAGTAGGCGTGTAATAAACGGTTATCTTAAATGATTGGAATGACTAACTGCCCTGGTCAGAGGAAAAGTGCATCAAGTGGGTCTCACATAAAAAGAAATTTCCTTACAGCCCATAATAGGGGTTTGAAAATAAAAAAAACTAGCATCGAGGAATAGGCCAAGTGGAAATCAAATTTGGGAACAAATATTTAGCTATATCAAATGACAGGCTTTATGATAGTTTTCATTGGCCCTTTAGTTAACTTCCGGCTTCACGGAAAGGAGGAACATTAAAGTCCCAAAAAGTAGAGGAGAGGGGGGGGGGTACGGATGAGGGAGTCACAGATTTAAAGGAGACAGAGAGACAATAAGGCAGAGAAAGGGAAAGATGAGTTCTGTGAAAGTGGTGGAATAGTACATGCAGTCGGTTCATGGCAGTTTAAAGTCAGAAGTCAATTGCCAATTAATTGACTTTCATGCCATATGAGTACACGTTGCCCATTTGCACCACGTGGAGGTATGTCGATCGCATGAGCATAAGCGCGATCGCCTTTAGCGTCGAAGATTTAATTTGGAATCAATTCATTTGTTTGTCATTTCCCATCCATCCTTCTTTGCTTTTTCTGCTTATATCAAAGGTTGAGTCAGGTAGCAGAAAATAGACCCCTGGTCTTGATTGGTACTGTAAACTTAGTCTACTGAATCTGCCTATCAATACAGCACATAATAGCAACATTAATTCACTTCTAAGCTATCCACATTCAAATAACCAGTAAGAGTACTTCGTTGACACCATGAAGCGTGTACTTCAGAAACCATATGGGGGGGGGAGGAGGAACAATATAAAAGATTCTTGACGAGTTCTTTTTAAGCATCCAGTAACACCAAATCCTCCCTTAAACGTCTATAGTCCCACAGAATCTCTTGTATGTCGAAGACCCAGAGCGAACTTCAATACCCTGCCCCAGCGGACAACATTCCGTGGATCTTCTTCAAGCGTTAAGAAGGTAGTTGCAATCGTCTAGCTTTAATGTGTATGAACATCGTTCAAATGGCACATGAGCAGAGATCGGGGAGGTAACGCACTTTATGAGGTGAATGTCAATCGTCATACTTGCGTGAGAATTAAAATTCTCCCAGATACACAGCAACACTATCGAACCTAGAAATGGATCATTTGGATATCATTTTGACCTTGCCCTGATAGAGAATACCAGTGCTCCAAACCTTAGCCCAACAATCGATGTGGTCTAAGTTTGCGAAGCGTCAGTAAATCCATCGCTCCTTCCAAACGATTCCATTAAGAAGAAACGTTACATTGAGGAAATTTCGTCGGTGGGAGTTGGAACAAGCTATGCATTTCTTTTGTCTGATGGAAAATACAATCCAATTTTTTGCACACATATATTACATGCTGTTGTTAATCATTAACCACAAGGCTTGCATTCTAGTTTAATTGGCATAATTGTTTAATCAGGCAAATAAGAAGTGATTTTGTTTTTGAAAATGTGAGATCTACTCCAGATTGGGTTTTGTCTATTTTTTCGAGTTTTTGCTTATTTTCTTGAGATTTTTGATTTTTTTATTTTGGATTTTCCTAATCATTTAAAGTGCTAAACAATGGTAGTCGCAATTATAAATTAACCAACATGACTCAACATGAGTTATTAGTTCATCCCCAAGGAATTGACTCAATAAAGGTGTCACATTACGTGATCGATAAGAGGAGGATGGGGGTGGGTAGGTGAGCTTGAATTGGGTGAAATTTTGCACATATTTTAGGTAAACATTATTAATGTTCTATTTTCGGGTACATTTCGATCGATAAAGAATTGTCCTCGAGGAAGTAATTCAGAATTTTCAAAATAACACCTAAAAATTACATTTAATGCATATTTAAACAAAATATGCACTCATTAAGAATGAGTTTTCTATATGAGAGTAATAAAGAAAGATAAACACACGTATAAGTGAAATTTGATTTTATAGCAAGAAGTGTTATTAGTAGAATAGGCTATTGAATTAAAATGCGGGGATTTTATAATCGTAATTATATAAAAAGAAATTTACTGGTTAACAGAGCAGTCCCACTACGACTTAGCCTCAGGAATCCTTTTAGGAAAAATCCCCTAAGTGAGTTACTTCTCCCAAAATCAGTAAATTGGTTGTCGTGAAAATCGATTATTGTGTATAGTGGTTTATTGCTTAGCCGTTAAATGCTATCATTGTTATTGCAGATTGGCTTGGAAGATTCTGCACATTTCAGAATGTTCCGTTGCAAATGAAATTCATATGATCAACTTTAGCAGCGTTGTTCAGCAAAGTTAAACGAACGGAAGAGGAAATAAAAATTCAGTTCTAAACGTACCAACTTATTACCTGCCAACAATCAGTTATTTAAGTTTGAACAAAATGATGCGTACTCAAAGGAATCGTGATGTTCTTCACTTTTAATCAGCTTCTCAGTTATGTAGAGATAGTTTGACGGTTTAGAAAGGTCAGTGCCATTTTAATTAGATTGCATAAATAAAAACCAGTTTTAATTCTAAAATTTGGCGCTTATTTTATCAACTTTAATAGTAGAAATCTGTGTTAATCGTGAAAAAGTCTCTCAAATTTGCTTGTAACCAAAATTTACTAGCAACGTATGAAGTGCAATACAACTTCAATCACTAACTTACTAAAACCTCCAATCTAAGGTGCTAAAAAACGTTGAAATACCAATGATTTAAGTTACAGGTTTTCAAACATATCTCGCTTTTATTATTAAAAAACATAAATTACAAGGAACTGCATGTATTTCTCCCAACCTATTTGAAAATGGAAGTGCTCCCATCACTATCCTTTCCAAACATTGCCATTGAAAAATTTCCTCCACAAATTATTGAATGAACATAGATATAATTGCAATGTTCTTTAATACTCTAATTTGATGAATACCGAAACCTGAGTATGTTTTAGTAAATTACTGACATAATCTGTGTACATATAGTGATTATTTGGTTACAGCAAGGTATTTTTTGCAAATATATCAAAATTCAAGTGATTATGACCAAATACTATATATTGCGGGAATTTCTAAAGAAAGTGTATGAAATGTTGATATGTATTTTAAGAGAAGAAATTTACCAAAAACATTCCCTTGAGCAAAAATTATTCAAATTATGAAATTATAAAATATTTCATTATATAAATTTATTTTTGATCAGAAGGTTAATCTAAAATAATATTACCCAGAAACAAGAAAATTTGTGCATGAATTGCTTGCTTTCTATACAAACTCTTTAATCTTTAAATATCCTGATGTCCGTTAAATTATTGGAGGGTGGGCTTTCGGACTTTGAAGAACCTGGTTTGTGTGTCCTTGTTGCAGATATTTGCTGAAGCCATAATTTTTTAATAAAATTGTGGCGGTTTAACATTTCGAATGCTATTATTATTCAAATAGATTGAAAACAAATACTGTATTAATCTAAAATATTGATTAATCATGTTTGCTTAATATTCCATTTATTTCTTTACTTCATTGGTGCGTTTCTTCATTATACGTATTTCTCTTGTTTTATGCCTTAGTAATACGTCATTTTCTGGCTTTGACATAATTAATCATCATTCAGATCCTGTGTCAACATGGCTTCCGCCTCTCCAGAAGTACCTTTAATTGTCTCCATTTTTAACGAATGCCAAGAAACTTCTCTATCTCATGATCGTCTTATGGCATCTCTTACGGATTTGTATATGAAAGTAAGACCTAGTTTCTATATGATACCTAATGTGGACTGCTTTTGATATACTTTCTTTTACAGATGCCATTTTCTCATTTTGCCGAGGATTTTTTCGAACTTTGTCGCTATTCTCTCCTCAGTGCTGATCGTACAGCAGCCAGAGAAAGGACCATTGATTTTATTGTTCGATCTATAATTCATATTATTACAAACGCACCGGATCGCAATGATGGGAAGCCTCGAAACCTTCTCCTTATAAAAACCTTCCTCTTTTGTTCAAAAGTAATTAATGCAGTAGAATTTTCTCTGTCTACTATTGGCTTGGCTTTATCTCTGTTTTTTTTGTTGCCACAGTATCACGAATGTGTTAAATATGCTCCACGTTTCCGATGTACACAGTTAATCTACAAGCTTCTTGAAGCTATGGGTACCGAGTCCTGCTTACCTGTGGAGCTTTTTGACGTTATTCAACGGGTTCTTATTCGGCGTTCTAAGGATGTCAAGGTGAGTTTAAACTCCGAAATACAATTTTTATCATTGGATTCCCCTTCTTTATGATATTTTACTCTTGTTTCTGAATTTTCTGGGTTTATTTAATCAGTGAACATTACCAAGCTTGGACTATCAACTTTCACCTCCTAACCTGATGGTCAATCAAATTTTAACTCAAGATATTCTTTCGATTTTTTCTTGCTCATATTACGTGGCTAAGTATTTTAGTACCATTGTGCCAAATTTGGTTTATTGACTTGGTTGTTTTGTGGAATTTAATGTTTTTCATCTTGTTCTAATCCCCTCAAATCTAGCTTCCCTCACTTGTACTACAATAATCTTGTTCCAATGGTTTTAATTTTGCCTCGTTCTGTCTACCTGTTTCACGTGCTCTTATTATTACTCAAGGAAAAATGCGCGAGATTGACGGGGAGGGGTTTTTAATAATAGCTAACAGTGAGATGCCAGAGCTTCTTGCTTCTGCTTGCAGTCCCAAAATGCCCCAATATTTGCATGGAGAAAAAGTTGGTCGCTGTGTGGAAATTGATAATATTGCTTCAATTTCATGCAGTACAATGCCTCAAATGTGTTGAATCGTTTTCATTGGTCAGTGGTGTTGTGTGTAGTTAA